TCCAATAATAATTACTCAATTTACCTCTCCACGTTTAAGATATAATGTCCATTAATTAATTTGATTAGTGACAATCAAGAATTAATTAATTTATTATTATTTCACCGAAGCTAGCGCTCGTTCATCACATTCTTATTATGCCGGAACTTAATCCACCTGCAGGGTTTAGCATAATAATCTTTCATGAAATGCTCCAGTGCCCACAGTGGGCACATGTTAATATGCCCACCGCTTATGTGGCATGTACACATTAATGATGTATTTTTTTAATTTGCATTATAATTTGCATTATAATGATTTACTAGTACAATACCCGTGTATTACACGGGTGTTGAATTAGAAAACTTTTGTAAAAAATATTATTTTTTTATTTTTTAAAAACTAAAATAATTTAATTTTATATAAAACATTACTTTGGGTTTTAATTAAATTGTCAAATTATATTTTTTTAATCATAATAATTAAACACTCGTACATTAAATGAAATTGTCAACTCGTGTTGAATTTTTTTACTTATATCATATAAAAATATAGATATTTTTTACTATTACATAAGTACAATATATATCTTAAATAAATAGAAATAATATGGTGATATGTATATGCATAAGTGTAGAATATGTTTATTTCATATTAAGCAAAATAGATTATTTTTTTTTACTTAATTAGATGTCTAATACATCAAGTGTCATATCAGTCGTGCTTCACAATTTTTTAACTTTATATGTAATTTTAGAATTTATATAAATAATTATTTATTTTTATTACATTGACAACATACCAATTAGATTTGAAATAAATATTATTTTTAAAAGAATATATATCAATTTATATTACTTTATAATATAATTTATAGTTTTATTTGATATAATTTAATTTAGTTTGATAAATAAATTTAAATTTTATTTATAAGGATATATATTACTGTTTTGTATTTATATATATATATATATATAAATAAATAGTAAAATACAAATGGACTTCATAATATCAATTCAAATACAACACACTAATTAGGATTTTTTTTCTTGATAATATTAACCCTATTTAATAGATGTTATGGGAAACGATGGAGATGGGATATGAAGAGACACTGTGTATTAAATAGAGGGTTAGAAATGGAAAAATATAAACAAAATATCTAAAACGACATTTATTTTATCAATGATCAATTAAGCCAAAGTGATAAATAATAAAAATAGGAGGGAGTATATATTATATATTTTCGTATGACACATGTTACTTGTGACCCTTATATGTGTTATATTATAATAAATTTTCTACCTTATAACATAAAACTACATTAAACATAAATATATTAACTGATAAATAATTTTATTTTCTAATTAATTTTAATAAATAATTTTATTATTATTAGAAAATTAATATAATTTATTTATTTTATATTGTATAAATATAAATAATTTATTTATTAAAATTATTTATCAATTAATTTTAATAAATAATTTTATTATTATTATAAAAATAAATATAATTTATTTATTTTATATATACAATATGGATATCAAATCGAAGCTCATCAAAAGATGATTAATTCTTTATAATAGAAAATGATATTAAAATACAATTAATACAAATATTAATTTATCTCCAAGCCTAACTCCAAAGCATTATTTTTGTCAAATAGGATTCCGAAGCATGAGAATTTGCCACGTAGGCTCAGCGCATTCTGAAATTATATATAGAGGTGATAGTTTGTTTAGCATACTCTGCAATGAAAATAGATTTTACAAGAATTTCATTATAAAAAGAAATCCAAAAAAAAAAAAGATTAATATACAAATATTAATCATGGTCGCCAATAATATACAAATAAAAAAATAATAAAAAAATAATCATGGTTGCCAATAATATACAAATAAATTCTAAAGAACGATTAATATATTTCAATTTTAATTTTTGACCAGTAGTAATACTATTTAATGTATCTGGTCATTATCTCTTAAATGGTAAATTATTTTAATTTGAAGAATATTTTATTTTTTATGTGTAAAGAAATAAAGCTTAAGAAAAAATTATATTGACAAAGATTAATTCACTTACTTGATTTCGCCTAATTAATTGGAAGAAAACATTCTACATAGCCTGTTGCGGTTTTCAATAAATATTTTTGGATAAAAAGGTGAATATTTGTGAAAAAAATTAATATTATAATTAGAACTTAAAATACGTTGTAATATTTATCTTGACCAAAACATTATCAACATGAATCACATAAAATCAATTTTGTAATTTATTATAATGGATATTAATAAAATTATTGCAGATATTAATAAAATTATTTAAGGAAACAATATTTTTTAGCATATTTGATTTTTGATCTTATTTGAAAATGTGTATATGGAAACAATTAATACATATATTTAAAAAGTTTCTAAAAAGAGATACGCATTAAATGCTCCTAGATTTTTTTACTACTATTTTTAGTAAATAGTTATTCTTATTATATATATATATATATATATATATATATATATATATATAGGATATGGTTCAAATGAGAGCTATGTCTTATTGTGAGAACCGTGAGAACCGCTATTTTTAATTGTGCGTAGTGCTATGATTGATTGTGTTTGGTGCTATTTTTAACCATGATGAATTTTATTAAAAATAACAACACAATTTCTGTTAGCATTTGTAAAAATGATAACATCATTTAATATGAAAAATAGCATCATACATAATTAAAAATAGCATAAAAAACGATTCTCACGGTTCTCACACCAAGACTAATTTTTATTTGAACCAGCCCCTATATATATATATATAGATAACTACTGACTAGAAATAGTAGGCAACAAAATCCGTAAAAATTAATTGTATGTCACTTTGGAAATTCTTTTACCATAAAATCAGGTAACATTAAATCTATATATATATAATAAGAATTAACATTAATCAATTTTAGAAAGTTTTTCCCTCCAAAATCATTAATTACATACTATAAAAGGCATCTTAAAACATGTTTTAATTATAAACCAATCGAATGCATTTAATGCATTCTAACAATCTATACTTATATACTAAGCCATCATATTTACTAAATTTAGTAGGAAGAAAAGTCAAATGACAATTAATGCATTGTATTTCCATCATTTTTCAAATTGTATTATTATTTTATAGCTAAAAAACCGGTCTGCATTAATTTCATCCTTAATTGATGTGTTTTGCAATTAAATCGGACATATAGATTCCAAGTAAAAACATGTCTCATTTCAAATTTAAATTTAAATCTTAAAATTTCTTATTATTTGTTACATTAAAATCCTAAATGAATTGTTTGCCATAAAATCGAACAAAATAATAATTGCATAGAATACAAGTAAAAACATGTCTCATTTAAAATTTAAATTTTACAATTCTTTATCATTTTGTTACATTTTCGAATGATTTGTTTCCCATGACATCGGACGGAATTAAAAATTGCATAGAATTCAAGTATGATTTAGAATTTATATCGAGAATGTTTAATAATTGCATAGAATTTCAAAGATGTTTATTTATTATAAAATAAAAGAAAAAAATTTGTGTATATTTTGTAAAATATTTGTACAAAATGTTTTACTTTAAATTTATTTACATAATTTAAATTAATTACATAAAATAATAATATTAACATACATTAAATATTTTAATTACATAAAACAAAAAGAAGAAGAAGACTACATCTGTAACTTGTATAAATAATAATAATGACATTATATTACAATAAATTTTATAATAAAATAATATGAATATTATACGAGGAACAAAATTACGTAAAATTGTTATTTTTCTTATATCAAGGAATAAATATATATAATGAAATCAAATTATATTATTATAAACATGTGAGCGAGATAATATATTAATTAATTTACGGGCTAGCGTTACCAGGCTCAGGTTTAATGTCTCGGCAAAAAAGATGACGTTGGTGAAAGAGGTAAAAAAATAGATGATCAAACTCTATTATTTTTTAGGCCTGAACTGACAAGCTGTATTGTCCACTCATTTAATATCTCCCTTGAATCGCAAACTACTTAACGAACAAGCTCTGTAAAAATGACTCATTTAATACTTATGTCCCGTGCATCGCACGGGCTACGTACTAGTGTTCCTTTAAATGGTGGGTTTTGTTCCATTCACATTTGAAAATTTGGGCTGATGTTGAAGTTAATTTAAAATTCCTTTTAATTTATCTTGAACAGATAACATGTAAATCATGTAACAACTTTTTTAAATAATATTTTTTTAATATTTATTCAGTAAAAACTTTTTTTAAAATAATAAATTTTCAATATTAACCTTTTCTAAATAGTAATTTTTCATTATCTATTCCATCAAATGCAATCGTAATAACAAAAAAATTGTATAGTCTAATTAATGTTTTTTTTTATGTTGTAATACATATTATTCCAGCATATATTATGTAAAACTGATAGACCTAACGCTATGAATTTATGCTACCAAACACCAATAAGGATTGTGGAGTATTAATTACTCTTTTTATTTGTCAATTTCATATTATTGTCAACACGTGTCCATGATTGAAACATTTGAAATTTAGACCGGGTAACAATGGACTCGTCAAAACCCGGCCAACCCGGCCTTGACCCGGTCGACTTGGGTCATTGATCCAGCCGAGTCAATCCAGTTGACCCGATTTCTATAAACTTTTTATTTTTTTAATATTTTTTTATATAAAAAATAAAAACTATATAAATATAATGATATAGTAAATATTTAATGTGAGATACAATATTATTAACACTTAAATGTACAAATTTTATATATAAAATATTTATTTATGTTACTTTTATGTGTATTTATATGTCAAAAATACTTTATATATAATTTTAAAGATTTTAAAATTAATTATCTGATTCAACAATTGACCCAATGACCTGACGGTTGAACTGGTGACCCGGTGACTCGGAAACCTGCTGGGGTCGATTTCCGAGCTGGGTTTAAAAACTATGATTGCATGTACACCAAGGACCTTTATCAAATGGATATATCACATATCTGCAAATTATCAACACACATATTATCTCGTGTATAATAATAATAATTACATACTCCAAATCTCAGTTTAAAACAATAATTAAAAAAATAGCAAACGAAATGAAAGACTGGAAAAAAAAAAGAAATTAACAATTTGATCCCACTATCTGTAATAAAAATGTAAGAAAAATAAGTACAAAAAGAAAATTAAAGAAACGTCTTAGGTGACGCGGCCCGCGGTTTGGTTAGTTGGTACGGCGCGTTTGCTGCGACCCTGAAATTTACCAACGGACAAGATTAATTTCAAATAATAATAACAATTAATAATAATAACAATAATAAATTCACTAGATTATTTGTTCAAGAAATTGCCCACCTATCCCTTCTCTTCTCTAAAAAACGAGCCAATGAACTTTTCCTTGCGATCGGTAAATCTGCATCAAATGATAAAAAGGATTTAACAAAATTAATTAAATCATATTATATTAATCAATTAATCAAGCTATATCATAATTAAATTAATCAAAAGAAAATAGTTCCGGATATTTTTAATGCAGTACCCGAAGCGAATCCCGGTTGAGGAGCGTGGGAAGCACGCTCCAGTAGAATATTCCCAGCGCCGGCGACGAGTTCCGCCGTGCTGCGAGCCGTTTGCGGCGGAGCAGAGTTGCCGGACTTTCCGGCGAGCGCCATGATCTCCATGGCCCTGTCGGCCGGTAGATCGTCGAACACGGCGACTCGACCCGCGTAAAATACAGTCATCTGGCCGGTTTGCTTTTCCAGAACCCGACCCGATTTCTCTACATTGGGCAGAAAATTCAAAGTCTCTGTTTTCAAATCAAGCAAGAAAAGGAAACAGAGAGCAAAATTAGAAACAAGATCCAAAGCAAAATCACAGATCGATCCATAAAAGCCTCACAAAAAAGGGAAAATCAGATATAATTAAACCCTAAAATCTGAATCGCACCTTTAGATTCGGAGGATTTAGGAGTGAGGGCGAGGCTGAGCTCGCCAAAGCTGCCATTCATCTTCAAGTACTGACTCAGAAGGGCACAGGTCTGTGAGAAGCTGGACCTCCCGCCGGGGAACCTGCCGGAATCCATTTTTCCTGACGAATCCATCTCAAATCCGGCAAGGAGAATTCCAGAATACTCGAAATTGGGTTGAGGGTTGTGTTTGAACTTTGAATTTTGATTATGAGGTGAAGGTTTTTGTGTATGAAGAATGAGTTTGGGGCAAATGGATTTTATATGAGCTTATCAAATTTTTTCATTTTCTTAATTGAGAAAAAAAAAAGGGAAAAATAGGCACGAGGAATATGTGGGTAATTGAAATGGTCGTGATATAACTATTTTAAAAACGAAATTATTTTATTTTGCCAATAATAAAACGTGTGTATTTGTAACAGCAAGGCACGTGGAGTACTGTCCTTTCGATATTTTTGACTATTGGTTGGAAAAAATTCATCTAGATATTTTTGACCTCTAAATCATCTTTGGTTAGGTCTTTGTAACTCTTCTTTTGTTAGGTTACAATAACCTCTAATTGTTCGGTCGCAATGACCAACTCTTGTTAGGTCGCAATGATCTTTAATTGTTCGGTCGCAATGACCTCTAGTTCTTTTCATTTGGTCTCGATGACTTTAACTCTATTGTTAGGTCGCGATGACCTCTAGCTTCTATTTTGAGAGGTCGAGATGACTTCTAGCTCCTCATTTGTCAGGTCGATATGACCTATAGCTCCTTTGTCAGTTCGAGATGACCTCTAGCTACTCTGTCAGGTCGAGATGACCTCTAGCAGGTCGAGATGACCTCTAGCTCCTCCTTTGTCAAGTCGAGATGTCCTCTAGCTCCTTTGTCAGGTTGAGATGACCTCTAGCAGGTCGAGATGACCCCTAGCTACTCTGTCAGATCGAGATGACCTCTAGCAAGTCGATATGACCTCTAACAGGTTGAGATGACCTCTATCTACTCTGTCAGGTCGAGATGACCTCTAGCTCCTCCTTTGTCAGGTCGAGATGAGCTCCAGCTCCTCTTCGTTCCATTTTGTAATCTACTCTTCCATTCTGCTTTATATCCTCATACTATATCTGTAAGCGGCGAACCAGATTTATATATTAGCTCGACTTTATTTTCCAGAAATAGTAAATTCATAATTATGTCGTATTTTATTTATTATAAAAATCGCAAAATTTATTAAGCCTTAAGTCTAAGCCATGGAGAAAGCGTTCAAATTATTATTTCAGAAACGAGATAAAATTCTAAGTCTAAGTCCTGATTTATTATTTTAATCGAGTATTACAAAAGTTAGGAATTTATTTAATTTCCGAACGAGCCCAATTTCCAGGCCCATTTAAGTGGGCCATTTTAATTTCTGGCCAACCGGCCTAAGTATTTAAATTACTGAGTCCAACATTATTTATTTCGGTCCATTTATCGGTATTTAATTTCCTAGGTCCAAGTCGCATTTATTTTACAAGCTCGAGTCATATAACCGAGCCCAAGTCGATTCAATGTTAGGCCCGATTTTAAAAGCCCAATAGCACTGCCAAACCCTAGTTATTACATGGTTATAAATAGACCACACCCTCATCTTCCACCTACCACTCACCTTAGAGCATCCACAATGCTTTGGGTTCAATCACAAAAAATTGCATGCCACCTAATAAATAGACCTATTCTGAAAAAATGTATTGTCCAATGCAAACAAAAGTAGAGTGGGTCCTGCTGATGTGGCAGCCAGAAAAAGAGACTCGATCTACCCTTAAGTCTATTATAGACCCAAGTAGAGACCTAGTCTCTTTGCATTGGAGTAGATTTTATTAATTTTACATAGTTTTATCCATGTCATCCAAGACTTGGGTTTATTTACATGCCACACAGGCAAGACTAGACCCAATGCATTGTAGATGCTCTTATCAATCCATTTCAAGATCCACCACCACCAAACATCGTCTTCTTCACCACACATCCATTTCTGACCAGTTCTGGCGAGTCCTCCGGCCGACGATCTCACCACCACCGGCGACCTCACGACCGTCCGGCTCCAGCTCAACCTACCGAGCCCGCGCCACCGTACACGCGAGCTCCCCCACCAGCCACTGCACCCGTTGTACTGTATGCCGACAGCATCCACGCGACGCCACGACCTCGGTCACGCTGCTTCTCGTGTCATTCCCTACGCCGGCGACCCTGTTCGAGCCCGTCCATGCACACACAGTCCCGTCCAGGCCCGTCCGTACGCAGCAGTCCAGATCCGCGACCGTATGCGCCCTTCGCGACGAGCTGCGCGTCCTCAGCTCCCGTTCACAGTTGGTTCACGCTCTGTCCCATCCGTAAGCCCAGGCCCGACCAACACCCGACGTCCATAGGCGTTGCGGCGTCCGTTTCCGTGCACGAGCTCAACCCCTCGCGTCCGTACGCCGGCGAGCCCGCGCATCCCGACTAGATCCACGCCGACGAGCCACCCTTAGTCCAGAGCCGAGCCAGCTAACCTCAGAACCGAGCTCAACAGACCAGATCTGCGTCGTTCAGCTCCGGCCCGAGTTGAACTGAGTGAGACCCGACCCGATCCATAGTCGATCAATTTTCCTAGTCTTTTTCGAGTTCCAATTTTTGATTCGGGTCATTTTTGAGGTGTACCCGCTTGATCTCTTTCTCCATGGCCTTAAGTATCAATTATATTTAATTATAAAAATACTAAGTGAAGATTTTGAGCATAATATGATTTATTTGGGATTTATTGTATTAAATGGAATTAAATTCGGAATTTATTGGAGGTTGAACCGAAAAATGTGAAACTAAATTGATAATTTCTATCTAGATATCTTGAGGCTTAGGTTTTAATTTCGTGAATTTTGGAGCCCGTTTGCTATATTAATCGGATTTTAGAATATATAGCCGAAATGCCCGATTTTTGTTAAATGAGTTAGTGGCTTGGAAATACTGTGAACATTTCACCATAAATTATACATATGCTGAAGAGTTTGTAGTTAAAATTTTATGATTTTTGGATGTCGTTTGATATGCCTACAAATTCGGAACTTTAGCCTCATTTTGTGAAAATTCTAGAAATTGATCCGGTTGAGACTTAGCTGCAGTTGTGGGTCCTAAATTCACTAGAAATTATGTTGAAATTAGGGTTTAAGTGTCGACTTAAAGTGAGTAGGTTTGCAGGTTAAGTAGAGAACCCTAGTTCTGCCTTTTTTTCGGACAGTCCGGATGAACTCTAGATCCGAGTAGAAAAGTTGTGCGTCGGCGAAGCCGTGTCCGTGCGTATGTACCTGGACTACGGTTGAACTGAGTTGCACCCAGTCAGACGAGCGACCAGTCGGTTCAGATCGAGCCGCCCGTCCAGTTCAGTCGAATCAGCCCGGACGATTCGGGAGTTCAGTTCAGAATATCGATTTGAGCGTGAACCGAGATTCACTATTTTTTCGAACCCAGTCAGATCAGTATAAGCCAGTTCATATAAAAACCAGATAGCCAGTTCAGATAAAATCAGACAAGTTAATTCATATAAACCAAATAAGTCAGTTCAGATATATCAGATAAGCCAGATCAGATAAAATCAGATAAGCAGTCCAGACTTAGAAAAATTTCAGAGAACTCTAGAAAAAGCCTAAAGACAATAATTTCCAAGAGTAGCTCATAAATCCTTTAAATCGAGATTAAATGATTTTAAAATCCTGCGATGGAACCTAGTAAGATCACATGATAATAAGAATCAAATCTTTCAGTTGAGCTTAATACTTAGTATATTTTGCTCAAACATTAGCTTAAGGAGAGTCGAGCCTCTGACAGCTACCATCATCCAGTCGCACTTGCCTAGCAGTACCAGCTTATCAGGTGAGGGTCATGTATTGTGTTTCACATCATCTTTAATTTCCGTACCATGTCCGAGGTATTGAGTAATGTTATATATCACCTCGGTGGAGGCCTTAACCTGCCTTAATGACCCATCGTAGGTTCTAGTGGAGGCCTTAACGGGCCTTAATGTCCCATCGGAGTGTGCACATGATCTAGCGGCTTCGGTCGAGCGACTTTTAGCTGAGTTTAGTTTAGTTCAGTTCTTATATGCTTAAGTCATGATATTGTTATTATTGATGTTGTTTTATTCAGTACTGATTTCTGCGGAGCATAGTGGTTTTCCTCATGCCCCCCACTAACTTTCTTTTTAGATGACGGAGTCCATCGTGGAGCGTGAGCACTGGTGGTGGACGTGGTCATACTATTTTTGTTACGCATGTCATGTCATTCATTTGAACATGTATTATTTATCATGCGAGTGCTTATTATCACTACAAGAAATTACATGTATCATGACGAAATTCGTGTGGCGAAAAAAAATCATCACCTTTGAGTGTTTTATGGTGAATAATTTGACAAATTGTCACTACATCATTGTATAATGTGACGATTACTACTGGCGTCAACATAGAATTTGTTTTTCGTCACATAATTGTAATTTACGTGACAATACATCAAAGTCGTCACCTTTATATAAAATATGACGAAATTTCATGTGACAGAATAAATATTGTCGTTGTTATTGTTTTTTAAGATGACACATTTGAAAAAAGCGTCATTATATAATTTTGTACTGTGACAATACATTACAATACATCTATATTCGTCATAGTAATACATAATATGACGAAATGCTATGTGACCAAATAAATTCGTCATTTTTATGGTATTTAAAATAACACTTACGGGTGATTCGTCATTATATAATTGTGCCTTGTGACGATACATTACACTACATCTAAATTCGTCACAGTAATACATTTTATAACGAAATCCAATGCGACAAAATACATGTCATCGTGTGTTTTGGTATTTACAATGACGCTTGTGATTAAATCGTCATTATATAATTTTCATTGTGAAAATTTAACCTAAATTTAACCTAATTGAATCAAATGATCCAAGTTAACCTAAGTAAAAGTTTATCAAAGTCCCTAAGTAATTCAAAGTGCCTAAATAATCCTAAGTGAGCCTAATTAATACCAAGTACCTAAAATGCTAAGAGAACACTCTGCCCAATTCTATCCCAAGTCCAAGACCCAAGTCAAGCCGGACCTTTGTGCATTTGAACTCGGCAACTCTTCACCCTAGCAACCAGCCTTAAATTCGGTCATCTTCAAAGCTCCCAACCAGCAGCTCACTCTCTCCCACACCAGCCACCACAAGCAGACCAAGGGAGCAGCCCTCCTAGCATAACCGCTCCTCTAATTCTCGGCCAACTTACCCACGACATCTCCCTCCAAGATGCAACCCTAAAGCCCCACCTTTTTAACCCCAAGCAACACCAGCCGCCATCCTCATTTCTACCCTCATCAGTTCACAAGTTTCATAAAATTTCCCTAAGTACTCCTTCAGCAAAACTCCTTTCTGGCCAGCAGATTTCTGGCATGTCCGAGAACCAAGCAGCTTCCGCCGAGTACCGAGCAGAACCAGCGCCAACCGAGAGTTAGACGTGGCTGAGAGAGCTGGCCATTTACGGCGACTAGCGAGCCCACCCGAGCACCGACAAGGAGCTCTGTTTCTGGCAAGGTGAGCCACCGGGTGCGGACTGACGAGCACCAGATTTCGACCAAGAGCAGCGATTCATGCCGAGCAGGCGAGCCATGTTCAGTAGCTGAGAGCTGGCCTTACCGTGACCGAGCCAGCGACTGAAAACCTCCAGTTTCTGAGGCTGTAGGAGACCAGGCCTTAGCAGCAGCCGAGCCTTGTCCACCCGAGAGCAGCCGAGAATTCCCAGCAGCACCCGAGAGCCATCGCCGAGCCTAGAACCAAGTGACTGAGAGCCTTAGCAGTTACCCTTTTTCCAGAAGAAAGGTAATTTGGCTGAGCCGATTTACCTCTTATATGGCCGAGTTTAGATGGCTTAAAAATTTAGTTAAAGAATAACAAAATGTCATGCTAATCTCTTTAGTAAAAGTTAAGCAGAAGAGAAGAACTTTGGCATGATTTGGCTTTGATTTGTGAAGTTTGCCGAGCCTCAGTTAATGTTAATTTCATGCTGCAAATTATGAGTGCAATGTGTTTAATTATCAAAAAAAGAAGAAGAATTTAGTATGCAAAGATATGTAATAAAAGCTTAAGAAAAGAGAAACAAGAATGATTATTGTTATCGCTTTGAGTTGTTGATCATTTGTTGAGCCATTGACATGTTAATTCTTGTTGTAGCATATGAGTTTATTTGAGTTTGAAAGATGAGTTAAAGAGAAGAAGATTATTAGGAAGATTATTGGTATTATTAGCCTTATGAATATATAAAAGTTTAAGAAAAGAAGTTAATAAAATCAAGTTGTGGCCTTGATTGTTTATGTTTTGCTGAGCCTCGGTCTAATGATAATTTCATGTTGAAAATTAAGAGTTTGGTGAAATTAAAGTTTCAGCAAAGAAGAGTTAAGTCAGACTCATTAAACTAGCAATTGTGTTGAAAAATATCTAATGAGAGTGCAAGGAAACTGATGTTAATGGGCTGTCATTTCTCATTTCTAAAGAATCTCGACTGCTTTCACACAATGGATTAAGTAGTGAACAATCTCGACTCCTTTCACACAATGGATTAAGTACTCCTTTCCAATCCAACCAAACCGAGCCTCGTATTTCTATAAGTAATTTATGTTCATGGTTTGTTGGTATAGGGCGTTTCTAAAATCAAACTGTTATCATGGGTAAAGGGCACGATGCTCCATGTGAATATAGAGGCAGCTTTTTCATGTTATTGTTTGGGGCAGTTCATGTTGTATTCTCCCATATACCTGACCTACAAAATTGCAGTGGCTCTCCATAATTGCAGCCATAATGTCCTTTCCGTACGCTTTCATTCGGTTGGCTCTTGGCTTTGCTAAAGTATTAGGTATTTCATATTTTATGCTCTGTTAATTTATGTTCTAAAATAAGATTCTCATTCTAAAGATGACTTCTGGTGAATGCAGAAAATGGTGAGATCAGGGATTTGAGCAGAGTGTCTACAACCACTGCCCCTCAGAAAGTATGACTCTCATCTCAGGCAGTTGGAGACATTGCTCTTGCTTTCACTTTTAACATAATTCTTTTGGATATCGAGGTTAGAATCTTTCTTGAGCTCTGTTCTACATTAGCTATTTTACTATTTATTGTGATGAAATTATACATACTTAAAATTATGAAAGACAAATGTGTAAATGAAGAATACTCTCAAGGCACCACCGGCCAAGAACAAGACAATGAAGAAGGCATCGACTTGTATTTATTACCAACTTTTTCTTTTATCTGTTGTGGGTCCTTCAGGTTTGCAGCTTTATGAAACCAAGCACCATGAAATCAGTTGACGGGCTTGGAATTTTATGATCCCTACTGGCTTGTCAACATTGCTATTGCATGTATAATTCTTCACTTTGTGGGGGAATATCATGTAGATCTCTCATTACTCAAATTTTCTATTTTTTTTTTCTAGGTTGGACATAGTGAGGGAAACCCTATAAGGATTTCGAATTCAGAAACTTTGTAAATATTTCATTTTACTTGATCCTGACAAGTTTCAACTACTTTTCTGTCTGCTTGTAGATATACAATAGATTTTTGAATGAGTATGAAGTCAAGCTCCCAATGCTTTCGAGGATGCTTGGATACTAATTTATCCAAAAAAATCCAATCATTTTTAATTCAACCACTTTTTTTAACTCAACTTTAACTCAACCCCACTATCATAAATATTATCAATATAATTAAATTAATATCAATCAATCATTCTGATGGGTGTACTCTCAGATCTGGAGTGAACCAGTGGTAAGGAGCTCAGATCTGTTTGAATCGCCTTCGAACCGTTGCTAAACCGCGAGAATACCTGCAAAAATTCAACGCCGGAGGTGTTTCTGGCGTAGAGCCTCCGACGCTCAAGTCAGTATGAGAGTGATGAAGAGAGGTTGCGCAACAGCTATGAGGGAGAGTGGAGAATGAATGAGAGTTAGGGTTTAGGGATACCTCTCTTCCTTTATATAGGAGGAAACACTTACTTGAAGTACCCAGAATGCCCCGATCGGTTCACTTGAAATGTCTAAATTGCCCTGGTTGATTCGTCTCCCCTTACTGCGGAGTCATGACAAGATTCCTTCTTATCCATTGGAGGATAAGAGACTTTAGGAGATACTACAAGTATATCGAGTCTTCAGTGTGCCTCACGTCTCGAGGTAGGAGAAATCGACATCGAGCATGGACGAGTCGACTTAAGATCTTCTAGATATTCGGAGGCTACGCCCTTGTTGGTCTGCCCAAACGGATGTCGACTACAGGGAAGTCGACTGCACAAAGTCTACATCCTCAAGTCGACTTGTATGAGATCGGCCGCTTCTCGCCGTTAATCATATGAAGAGTCGTCTTTGAGGAAGTCGACTTGAACATGTCGACATGTGAACGGTTTGAGCCACTTATCCGGTCGAGTAGAGAGCCTTTGGGCCGGTATATCCTTATATGACTATATCATCTAGTCCCCCCCAAAAAAATACGCTAAGCAGTTGACTGCTTAAGAGTAAATTTGGTGATGTGTGGTTGTGTAGTCTTCCTGCAATACTTGCTCGTACTTGCCTCTTCGATAACTCGTCTCGTCAGTTGATTGAGAAACACCTCAACCTCTTATGATTGCTTTTTCGGATAAGTCTGACGTTCTGACACCCTTTTTGAATATCAAATTTTGAAATTCCTGAAGTGATGCGCGTCACTTCAACCGCCGACTCCTCGAATTCCGTGCTTCATCAGGACCCTTAGATCTTTTGCTAATCTAACGGTCAACATCCAACACTACCGCTTATAAATACGCCTCAATCCCTTAGAGAACCACTTTTCGCATTCTCGGACTTCTTCCTCTCTCAGATTCCTCAAGCTTTCCGACGCTTCTCGTGTTTCGGTTTCACCGGCGTTCTCCGCTTCCGGCAACTTAAATTTTCTCAGAACAACCAACCAAGGCACCATGAGTAACTTTTTTATACTTTCTCTTACCTTTCAGATTTCTGTTGGTGTTTTTTTTTTCTTTGGTTTTTTTGGGTTTCTTGAACCTGTAGTTCCTGTATATTCTTTAGGTTCTTCGAATTTTTTTTTATGGATTTCGTGTTGAATCTTTCATGTGCATGTTTTTTTTTGGATCTGCTGTTTTTACTTTGTTGGTCTTCGACTACTGGTATGCAGTCGACCCTCGCCTTTTGTTGAGTTGATTTCTGTCGACTTAGTGGTCTTCTCTCTTCTCTTTTCCCTTTTCGAGTCGACTAAGGTCAACTTACTGATTTACTTAGGTCGAATTGATTGGGTATCTCGACTCATTATCTCCTTGTTAGTCGAGTTGCTTCGATCTATTCGTATTTCTCTACTATCTGTAGCAATTGCCCTTCCTTTGTCCTTTTATCCTCCGTCGATCCTTGCGAGTCGACCTTATTTGTTCTGGTAAGCCTTAACTCATGACTTTACTAACTTCGACCTCTTTCTTCTCTTTTCTTTAGCTTCCGACTCGTCTTCTCTCTCTGGCTCCATTGGTCGTCAAATTAATGAGTATGCTCACCAAGTCGATGAGTGCTCAAGCTCTGATTCTGTTCAAGTGACCGGCATTAAGATGATTTTTCCACCTCCCAACTCTCCTTCTCGCACCTCCGCTTCCATCGTCGACTGGAATGAATACGACCAAGCGCTTTTGGCGGGCGATTTGGTTGACGTCTCGAATAGCCCTTCTCGAGGAGGCTCTCCTCGCCTCGATCTGATTCCTCGAGGTATACCTCTTAGGTTCTTAGACATCCCTGTATATAGAACGAGTCCTGTGTCTATACCAATAATTACTCCTCTTCTCAATTCTCAAAATGTTGTATCAATAGCTTGTCCTGTAGTTAGGTTAGCCACTCTAAATCCTTTTTCTTATGCCTCTGCAGCCGAGGTCGAGGGCTTCCGGAACTTCAGTGGGCTCCCCTCTGATTGGGAACTAGTCGCCCCCGGCCCTGGCGACGATTTTGCTCATCCTCTTTCTGGCTGTCATACATTCTTCGTTGATCAAGTCGTTTTTGGTTTTCGTTTTCCCATCCAGGACGAACTCTCGATGATTAGAGATTTGTATAGTGTACCCATAAACCAGTTTACTTCCAATTCTATTCGCATCATGATAGCTTTCATAGTCGTCTCTCAAATAAAACTTCATTTCTTCTCACCCGAATTTTCCTTTTACTGTTATGGCTATCGATTTACCAAGGGCGCCCACTGCTTGGGTCGACGCGCCGGTGTCACCTTCCTTGAAGATTTGTCGTCAAATGTTACCGAGTGGAAGTTGAAGTTTGTCTTCATTCGACCTGCTCCCGACATGTATCCCTATGTAAATACTTGGATAACCTCCAAAGTAAAACAAAATAAACGGCCTCGTTCTGACGAGTTTGTCATGCTGTTGAAGGAGCTGAATAAATGTACATATAGTGCTCGTCAACTAATTAAGGACCGTACTTTGGTTAATCATGCCAAAATTGTCATTTACGAGGATCTTCCTCGTGTCGATGATCCCCGTAAGCTTTTGATATTTCCTCTTACGAAGTCGTCTTCATATTTTGATCCTTTCGTGTTACGATTGCTATCTTGCTATCTATCTTCTGTTTTACTGCTAACTTTTTCTTGTTTTATTTCAGTCAAGGCACTCAAGCGCTTTGAGGTGAAAAAGTAGCAGTCGGCTGAGAAGCCGGCTGGTGACTCAGTTCCTCTTCCTTCTCGACCCGGAAGCGGGTCCGGGTCGAGGCCTGCCGCGGCAGCAGTCGAGACGACTGCTGCGAAAAAATCTAGGGTCGAGATCCTTAGTGCTGCCAAGCAGCACAAGTCGTCGGGCTCCAGCTCCCGAAAGAGGGCCCAAGACGACCGGTCCGTTGTTCTGATCCCGGACGACCTAAAGCGCCGTAAGGTCAACAAGGGGAAAGGACCGACAGTCGAGAAGAAGTCCCCCGCCCCCATCACCGTGAAGGACGTGACGAACAAAATGCCTTCTCGGCTCTGGAATCATCCTGAGCCGTACAAGGTGGCCAGGTATCTCAACTCCCTCATCCCCGAGGACGACAAGGAACGTGTCGAGGGGAATCTTTATGAGCGTTCGAACTACGCCATTCAGTGCCTCTCTCGGGTATTTTCCTCTTTCAATCGACTTACTGTTGTTCTTTCCATTGGCTTTATTTATCTTTTCCTTATTCATCTCAAATGTTCTCTCGCAGTTTCTGGTTGCGGCACTTCCTTGCCTCGAGGAAGGGAGTAAGGCTCCCGCCGTCTCCACTAAGTCCCTCGAGGACAAGTGTGGGGCTCAGCGCCAGGAAATCGAGGCGCTGAAGGAGGACTTGGAGGCCTCAAGAGCCCTTGTCGACAAGCTGAAAGCCGACAAAGCCGTGGCTCTGCACCTGAATGGCAAGCTTAAGGACGACCTCGACAAGGCTCGTGATGAATGCCTAGTCGAGAGGGAGAATCGCATCGAGGAGGGGCGCAGAACCTTCTTGAAGTCCCCCATGGGCGCCATCTTTTTCGAGACTTATCGCTAGGAGGTCGTCAAAGCCTTTTGCAATTCCCCTGCCTTCCTCGACAAGCTCTGCCCTGCTACCGTCCAATACTTCGATTATGCTTTTGACGCGTGGGCGGCGGTAGTAGAGGGGTCTGAGTTTGCTAGAAAACTCGACCACAAGGAGCTCAAGGAGACGCTTCCTGACCCTGAGGGTTATGAGGGTGACTCGTCTCTTCCAGATGACTACCCGTGGTGGTCGGGACTCGAGACTTTGGTCATTCACAAAGCTGGCCTAAGTGCGCAACTCGAGGTTTCCCCCGCCCCCCTAGTTGGTTCGACCGAATTAGTCAG